TGCTAGATGTTGTGGTGTCATATGCTAGGCTGTTTTGGGCTTAAGATTGTCCATTGGTTTTCGCTACGAATCCCCAGGCACCACTCTTTCCTCTCAACACTGAACCATCTGTACAGATAATCAGATCACCTGGGCGTGCATTGTCGTGAATCAACTTTTGGACTTCAAGCTCCCTGGGACTCTTTACAAACTGTGCTATGTTAATACTTAACATCTACACTTTACAAACTGTGCTACGTTAATACTTAACATCTACACTTTACAAACTGTGCTACGTTAATACTTAACATCTACACTTTACAAACTGTGCTACGTTAATACTTAACATCTACACTTTACAAACTGTGCTACGTTAATACTTAACATCTACACTTTACAAACTGTGCTACGTTAATACTTAACATCTACACTTTACAAACTGTGCTACGTTAATACTTAACATCTACACTTTACAAACTGTGCTACGTTAATACTCAACATCTACACTTTACAAACTGTGCTACGGAAGAGGGATCATCTATGGGTATATCCGGTGTGATGTGATGTCGATTCTTAAATCAGTAAACTTGGCTGAACGTTGAGGGATTTAATTTTATCAAAAATTTCAAATAATAACAATGAAAAACGTATTCTCGAACCCAATGTTACGAAAATATAGACACAAATACACACGATGACACAATGCTCATCCTGGGAGGGATGATTCTCTTGAGGTTCAGAGGTGGCGCCACACAAAGACTAAGAGGTAGGCAGTGATTCCGTTGGCGATTCAGGCAAAGAAGGCAAGCAAAACCAAGACACAGATGGTCCTCCTGGGAGTGATGATTCTCTTGAGCTTCAGAGTTAGTGCCACAGAAACACAGCTCTCGAAGGTAGGCCGTGATCCAGCTGGTGATTCTGGCACACGAGCGAGTGGCTAGACGGTTGAGAAATGTCTCATGTCGACGAGAACTTCGGAACGTTTATTTAAAGTTTAAGGGGGAAATATTAAAAGGATCGCACGAAAAAAACTCTTTCTAATTTCCAGTATACCATTACAAATGTTATTCTGAATTTCGCAGATGGCGGTGAGAAACTGAAGAATTTGATTGGTCGCTGTAATAAATATCGTGACTAAACAGATAACAGTAAAAAGTTGGGTTCTCCACACGGCAAGTCTCTTAAAGGTTTGTTGTAAATTTGGTGCTCGTCCTCTAGTAAACGAAAATAATATCACCAAAAAGGATATAGTTAAGCACAAACGCGCAGGCAAGGCGATACAAACATGTTTTATTGCTTGCGAAACTGACATGTCGTGAAACAAATATCATCATCATCATCATATACCACTTCTGCCGTTACGCGTCGTGGGGAGGAATAATTTGCGATCCTGTGCATGTTGGCTGCCACTGGCTATTGGCATGCCATGAAGACGTAGAGTGTCTTTAATGTTGTCGATCCAATATTTCCGCGGTCATCCTCTTGTTCTTGTAGCTGATCTTCTAAGATGAAGTACTTGTGATGGTATTCGATCTTGCTGCATTCTAACGAGATGGCCAAACCACTTGATCTGCTGTTTCTCGATGAATCTAGTACAAGGTGTTGTTCCCACACTTTGCCTGATAGTTTCATTATTGACATGAAACAAATGTAACTGTTGTAAAACATCCAAGTACAGCGTAGACCGGGAGTCACCGTGGCGTAGCGGTCAGACGCTCGCGTGCGGATAGGAAGGTCGTGGGTTCGCTCCCTTGTACTTTTTTCAAAAATGAACTTGACTCATAGATCGACCCAGCCTTGAGTGGAACCGGGTACAGTCCCGTGAAGTAAAGGCGTTCGGCGGGACGCTGACGACATCACCCATCTTGTGCCGATAGGTAGAACAAATATAGGTACAGCCCTATAAGGCTAAAGGCGTGGAAACAGGACCTTTGTTTTTCTTCTTTACTTACAGTGCAAACCTCGTTACCACAAACTGTTGGTCCTAGCAGGAATGTGTGCTTCGTAATACATCTAGTAGTTCCCGGTCAGTACAAATTCTTTTAACGCGAACTCTTGATATATCGGTGCTTGAAATTCGTGTTAACGACGTGTTACTGTGGTTACAAGAAACAAATAGAAACGATGAGAGCAAAATTGTCACTGTTCTGTTTCCTTTTCTTTTTTTTTTTTTTTTTTTTTTCATTTCTGTTTTCTTTGAAGAATCTTCACAATTGTTGTTAGACTTTTCAGTGTATGTTTCACACCCACTCCACTGTCACCCTTTTTGGAGTTTTTTTTTGTGGGTGGGGGGGGGGGGGGGGGGGTAGATTTAACGCACTGCTCCCTAACAAGCATGTAAAAGGCTACTAATAAGAAGTTTGCTTAAATCGGATGTGTTGGGCAAAGGTACAAAAACTATTGATTACTGCTTTTTGTACCACTTTTGCGGTGTTGGCAGAGGGGTCTTTCAGCCTGAGGATCTACGGGCGCATGGCTAGTGCTGTCGCCACGGACTGTGCAGGTGAGGGTTTCATTTTTTCCCCCGACAGAAAAAATCCCTAGCCTTACATAGATTCGAACCTGGATCTCCCGCTTGAGAGCCAGCGTTCCAACCGTTCGGCCATTGGCAAAGATCAAAACCACTGATAATTTCTGCCAAATTCAGTGCCGAGACACTTCCAATTGGCGTTAATGGAAGTCCATTTTGTCAGTGTCCTGGTATGACACCAAGAAAAGTCGATGAAATTTGAAATAAATGATACAAATGGCGTTTTTAAAGGTGTTCCAAGTAGAACATCAAACCCGTCTCGCTCACGTAATCATAAAAATAATTACAATTCCTTGAGACGCTAGAAATATGATGAAACATACCGTTAGGTGTATTGATCGGCAGTCGAAGCAAAGATGAGAATTAGAGTGCAGATGAAACTTTTAAAAATAGAAACGATAGGGGGAAAAAAACACGCACATACACACACACTCACACACAATATGTCCGCATAATTTAAACAGTATTTTGCAGAATGAACACAAAAACGTTCACGCAGCACCAAGTCTATTTCTCTATACTTTCCTATTCTGGTGTGTTTAATACTCATATATATAAATATATATATATATATATATATATATATATATATATATATATATATATATATATATATATATATATACACACACACATACACATATATACATATATACATATATACATATATATATATATATATATATATATATATATATATATATATATATATATATATATATATATATATCTCTATATCATATATATATCTATATATAAACTCTCTCTCTCTCTCTCTCTCATTCTATCTCTCTCTCTCTCTCTCATTCTATCTCTCTCTCTATATCTCTCTCTCTAGCTCTCTCTCTCTCTCTCTCTTGCAAAAGAAAGTTAACACTTCCTATTAGTTAGTTAGCTGCACATCCTTTACAGGACTTTGCAGAACCAACCCCAGCATTTTTTTTTTTTGGTTGTTGTGGTTTTTTAAAGCAAGTTTACGTCCAGTTGTTTGCAATTCCTCCTGGACGGTCGGCTTCTCGATACCACTGTTGAAACTAACGCAAGGCGAAAAAGCCCGCAGCTGGGATCGAACCCGGCACCCCGGCATTACGAAGCTTGTTCGCAACGCCTAAGCTGCAGACGCCAACAACACTTCCTATACCATATATTTCTCAATAACACTTGCAGTTTGTGTCTAATTACAACTAAATGTTTTTGAGAAACTAAAGTTATTAGTGTTTTTATATGGAATGAATCTTGATAACATTTGCTTGATAAACATTGAACATGAGCATGACAATACCAAGATGGGTTCCAAATGACGGGCCCTGCTGATGAAGTCCCCAAACCGACACACCATCCACTAACGCAGCGTTTTTCAATCTTTACGTCAGGCAAAAATAAAAATTTCGCGGCACACTTACCCTTAAAGCGGTTTAATGTTGAATATAGAAATTAGAATCGGCATATTAGAACTTAGGACACCCCCATAAGCGCTCCGTCCCCATCTTCAGCAGCAAACGAAGAGTTCCAATTCCGATGGCACCAGTAACTGATTATATATCCGTCCCTCTCCTCCCTTGAGTGTTGAGCGTCGGCCAGATCTCCTGGTAACTCCTCGCAGCGCCATTCTCCTCAGACCGTAATGATCGATTTGTGCCTCTGCACTGTTCACTCGCTCCCAGAGGACCCCAACAACGTCTAGCTGGTCATACATCAGTTCACTATCAAGTGGTGCAGAACCGGCCAGTCTAACTGCCTGCTCATTTCCCAACACACATTTCCTTTAAAGCGGTTTGAATACTTAAGAAAAGAAGTAAAACAGAGCAATTGTGATGTCTGGCAGATCTGGAAAAATTCTTGATTACTTCCGCAGTACCCCTGACATACGCTCGCGACACACCTGGGTGTCGCGGCACCCAGTTTGAGAATCGCTGCGTTAACGTATTGTTTGCCCGGTTTGGTGACGTCAGCAACACGGCCCGTCAGATGGAGCCGGTCTTAGCAATATGATTAATTACTGGGTAGGCATGCTCAATCACTGGGGTGACCTCCTCAAGGAATAATCACAGCTCAACAATAGAGCCTCGTTGAACTGATGGCATTCCCGATTGTACCAATGAAATATTCGTTATAACTTAAAGCGACTCAATTTCCTGTAGAACCATTGGCCCCAGTCTGTCGTATCCAGCAATTATTATGAACCACATCCGTTCATTATCAACATCACACCATTGGCCTCTGTCCCCCCAGCTGGCCATTCGACAACAAGTCTTCCATTATAGATGGCGATCTTTACAATAGCTTTTTTGGGGTAGGGCTTATATTAAACGCATCGTGAAAATCGTGCTAGGGGCTTTGGGTTGGTGGTAGGGGGGGGGGGGGGTGGTCGGTCTTTTTTTGGGGAAAAACACTTTATGTTTACAAATACCTTTATTTTTTCCCCAGCGAAATCTGTTTTGGATCAGTGAAACTAGTATATTAGACAATCTCATTTCGAAATCTTTCAGACATGCCAATAAATTTGTTAGCCCAAACAGGCACAGACAGCAATAAAGACATGGTCAGCGACGAAGTTTTGGCAACAGTCAACACGGTAAACCTGGCAACTCTTACTGCGTTTACCGCTCTGTGTGGGATCGTTGCTAACGTTCTGAACATCGTTGTTTTCCTCAGGCAAGGTTTTAACGACACTGTCAATATTGGACTCTTCGGTCTTGCACTGTCAGACCTGTGTTCTTTGATTGCTCTTGAAGGAGTGTGTATCTTCTGGAACCCAATGATTATCAGAGAGCTACCAGTGATCGCCCAAGAAGTCCAGCATTTGATCGCTTGCTGGCCTCAGACCTGTTTCGCTCGCATCACCAGCTCCATCACGGTCTACATCACATTTGAGAGATGCCTTTGTGTGGTCATTCCTCTGAGTGTGAAGCGAGTCATCACGCCGAGGGTTACCACCTGTGTCGTTGTGGGAATCTACACGACTACAGTGGTTATGATCATCCCAGAATACGCCACTTGCTACATGGGGTGGAAGTTGATCCCCGAACAAAACCGATCCTTGTTGGGACTTATCCTTTTCCCTGGAAGATATGAAACGACTAGAGTGAACTTTAACCTGGGTGTTGGAACTCAGGTGGCTTTATTTGGAGGCCTTGTCGTCTTCTCGGTGCTACTTGTTGTGAAATTGAAGGAGAAATCCAGGTGGAGACAATCCGTCGGCATTTCCGGTAATTCTTCGAAGAAATTGAGCAGCGTTAAAGAGAACAGAACAGTGAAAATGATCACCCTGGTTGCAGTTATCTATTGCATCTGTTTCCTGCCAATGCTTGCATGTTTTATGACAGTCACGTTTGTGCCTGGATTCATCGGTTTCGGAGACTACAACAACATATTTTTCCTGACCTGGTCGTTCGCGTTTTTGTTGGATAGTGTCAATTCTACTGTGAATATTTTTGTCTACTACAGAATGAGCACTAAATACCGAACAACGTTTCTGACGGTGATCTGTCGACAAAAAGCCGCCTTCTCTCATGGGGATAAGTCAAACTTGATCTCGCGTGATGTGTGAAAGAAATAAAACTATGCCGTCTAGTAACTTTAAAATATAATAAATCAAAGACAAACTGGAGATCATCATCATCACGTGATTTGCTAACAGGCGTAGGCACTTATGCGTCTCCACAGATCCCGATCCCTGGTTGCCTGGAACAGCTCTCTTGATAATATCCCTCCATGCCATCGTTTCAGCACATCCAGCATCATGTCTTTTGGTCTGCCTCTACCACTTTTCCACGGATCTTTCCAGTTGTCACAATGTTCTCCAATGTCTCTCTTCTCATTAGGTGGCCAAAGAAGAGTGTTTGTCTCTTTCTTATTGTGTAAATCTCTACTCTAGATAAAAACACTTAAATACTTCTTTCAAATTAGTTTTGTGTAAACTTAATAATCCTCGCTTTATAACTCATAAACTGCTGCGAGAATGTTCGTCCACCTGTGGACTTTAGTATTGTTCCAGAACCGGAGTGTTGCGTTTCACACATTTGGCATATTTGTAAGCAGACTCTTATTCTGACTTTGAAGAATGCCTCTAATTAGTCGTCTTCTACGACATGCTTGTTGGGAAGGCAGTCGGTCTATTCTTATTTTTTCACAGTGAGAGCTGAAAAGCACACGGAGAACTCTAGATTCAAACTTCAATACATTCTAAACAAACACTAAAACATGCATAAAATAATTCGTTGCTGCTAACACCAAAGATGGAGAAACTGATAAAGATATTAAACTACGAATACAAAAGGCAAGAGGAGCTTTCAAAGCACTATGTTATTTGTTGAGGTCAAAAGAAATAAAACTAATACTATAATAATACTAATATATATATATATATATATATATATATATATATATATATATATATATATATATATATATATTAGTTGTCTCTTTCTTGGAAAAATCTCCACAATTGTTGTTAGACTTTTCCGTGTATGTTTCACACCCGCTCCCCTGTCCCAGTTTTTTAAAATATTATATATATATATATATATATATATATATATATATATATATATATATATAATATATATATATATATATATATTTAAACATATATATATGTCGGCTCTGTGGCTTCGTAAAGCCGGGGTGCCGGGTTCGATCCCAGCTGCGGGCCATGCGCCTTGCGTTGGTTTCGACAGTGGTAACAGGGAGCCGACCTCCAGGGGCAATGTCAAACTACTGAACGTAAATTTGCCTAGAGAAACCACACAACAGCCAGATGCTGCTGGAGTTGGTCCTGCAACGTCCTGTAAATGATACACACACACACACACACACACACACACACACACACACACATATATATATATATATATATATATATATATATATATATATATATATATATATATATATATATTCTAATGTCAAATCAATACTGTGTAGAGCAGAAACATGGAGAACAACTAAGGCAATTGCTAATAAACTATACACATTCATTAACTGGCGCCTGCACAGAAAAAAAGGGAAAACAAATGGTATGATGGCATAACTAATGTTGAACTTTGGGAGAGAACAAAACAAGTTCCAGTGGACCAATAGGTGAAGAAAAGACGCTGGCGTTGAATACGACACGTTGAGAAAACGAGAGAACTAAATAACTAGAATGTCTTTGCCTTGGAACCCACAGGGGCAAAGAAATAAAGGCAGACCTAAAAAAACACAGGGGGAAGGAAGCTAGAGAGTGAAGATAGGAGGATGGAAGGACATGGGGAGATCAGCAGGCTATAGCAAAGGATAGAACGACTTGGCGTAAGTTGGTTGAGGGCCTATGCTCCATTGGAGGTTAGCAAGGCAGAAGAAAAATACATCAAACTCATCTACGTGTAATTTTGCCGATGTTTACCCAAGTACATTTTAGGGCCAATACTTGTTTTATAATCTGCCAAAGGCACACATGTGAATTACTAATTCAAATACGTCAAAAACAAGTACAAAATAAATAAACATATTTAACATAAAATCGCTTGAGACCAACAATCGGTTAAAATAAACACAATTTTGGTCCCACCAGTGATTTGTTTTTCATGATATCTATTTGTATAAATGTTTTTAATGCATACGCTAATTTTTTTTCCAGCAACAGTTAACGCGGTTTTATACTATTTTTCTGTGACAAGCATCGCTTCAGAGATCCCAGATAGTTAGCGTCCTTTGGATATTTACTCTAGGTTACACCAGTGTATTGGAAAATGAGCAGGCAGATAGACTGGCTCGTTTTGCACCACTTGGTGGTGAATTGGAGTATGACAAGTAGACGTTGTGACGGCGCTTTGGGAGCGAGTGAACAGTGCGAAGGCACAGATAGATCATTATGGTCTGAGGATAATAAGGCTGCGACGAGTTACCAGGGGATCTGACCGACGCTCAACATTCAAGGGAAAGGCGAGACGGACGTACAATCATTTACTGGTACCATCGGAATTGGAACTTTTTGCTACTTAAGATGGGGACGGAGCACTCTTGGGTGTGTCCCAAATGCTATGATGTCGATTCTTATTTCAACATAGTTCAATTTTTTTGAGATCTCTGGGTGTAAAGTGGATTTTCACAAAACACGGAGGTCACTCGGTGTGCAAACTATGTGACTCAATCATATATGCGAATACACTCTATGTTAATGGTTTATAAATGTCTGTCTGTCTGTCTGTCTGTCTGTCTGTCTGTCTGTCTGTCTGTCTGTCTGTCTGTCTGTCTGTCTGTCTGTCTGTCTGTCTGTCTGTCTGTCTGTCTGTCTGTCTGTCTGTCTGTCTGTCTGTCTGTCTGTCTGTCTGTCTGTCTGTCTGTCTGTCTGTCTGTCTGTCTGTCTGTCTGTCTGTCTGTCTGTCTGTCTGTCTGTCTGTCTGTCTGTCTGTCTGTCTGTCTGTATGCATGAAATTCGTGAGTTCAAATCCGGACGGTACTATATTTATTTTTCAGAAATGACCTAGGCTGCCAGTTTGACCCAGCCTTAATTGGGTATAAGGTAAAAGTCCTAAGAAGTAAAGGCGGCCGGCGTGATGCTGACTACATCAAACACCAAGTACCGATTAGTCTAAAAATTCACGTCTAGCACCATATGCCAATATGCCTAAAGGCGTAAACAAAGTCGATTTACTTTGACACAAACATAAAGGCGTAAACAAAGTCGTTTTGCTTTCTTTGACACAAACATAAAGGCGTAAACAAAGTCGTTTTACTTTGACACAAACATAAAGGCGTAAACAAAGTCGTTTTACTTTCTTTGACACAAACATAAAGGCGTAAACAAAGTCCTTTTACTTTGACACAAACAAAAAGGCGTAAACAAAGTCGTTTTACTTTGACACAAACATAAAGGCGTAAACAAAGTCGTTTTACTTTGACACAAACATAAAGGCGTAAACAAAGTCCTTTTACTTTGACACAAGCATAAAGGCGTAAACAAAGTCGTTTTACTTTGACACAACATAAAGGCGTAAACAAAGTCGTTTTACTTTCTTTGACACAAACATAAAGGCGTAAACAAAGTCGTTTTACTTTCTTTGACACAAACATAAAGGCGAAAACAAAGTCGTTTTACTTTCTTTGACACAAACATAAAGGCGTAAACAAAGTCGTTTTACTTTGACACAAACATAAAGGCGTAAACAAAGTCGTTTTACTTTCTTTGACACAAACATAAAGGCATAAACAAAGTCGTTTTACTTTCTTTGACACAAACATAAAGGCGGAAACAAAGTCGTTTTACTTTGACACAAACATAAAGGTTAGGTAGACACTTTGTCTCTTACAGTATTGCAGTTTAGCACTTCAAGAATGAGAATCACACAGGTAAAATCGTGGAAACCTAGTTTAACAGTAAACTAGTTATATTTTAGCTCCCCAAGGTTGCATAGTAACATGAAATCAGGACTGGGCATATATGCCTGGCAGCGTGAACTCGATGGCGCAAAGGGCACGTGTGACACCAGACACGTTCTTGTTAGATAGACAATTGACATTCAGGATATAACGTCTTACTAAACTTTATGTAGAACAACTGTGAAAAACTAAGCACACGAGGTCGTTAAGAAAAAAATTTATTCCCCTGTCAATTGCAGTGGATAAGTAAAGTAAAGGACCCTTTTCCACGCCTTTAGGCATATGGGCATATAGGGCTAGACCTATGTTGTAGACCAATCGGCACAAGATGGGTGATGTAGTCAGCATTACGCCGGCCGCCTCTACTTCCCGGGACTGCACCCGGTACCCACTCAAGGCTGGGTGGACCTAGAAGCCAAGGTCTTTTGGAAAAAAAGTCCTGCTCCGCCAGGAAGCGAACCCACGACCTTCCGATCCACGGCAAGCGTCTAGCTGCTCCGCCACGGTGACTCTAGTGAATACAACAGTGAAAATGCAGCTGACTGCTCTCGTCTGCTGGAGTAATTCTTTACACTTGAAACAACGCTAGACCATCGCAGTAATATTGTAATTTCTCATTCTATCTTTCGCCCTAAATAGATTATCTATAGATGTAATGCTATCTGTAGTGAGAGAGAAGGAGTAAGACGATAGGAATGAGAAGAAGGGTACAAGAGACGTAAAGGAGACAGGTAAGGGGGGAAAGAAAAAGCGAGGCCTTGCTACGACTGAGATTCTAGCAGGGATCTGAAGCTTAAAGAATTGGTAGACTGTGTCGTAGACATTGAGGTAAACAGTGTGTTTGACAGTATTCTCTACTATGGGCTATAGAACTAGGAAACTAAAGCTATAACTAGGACAATACCTACA